CGATCCACAGCTTGTGTGTGGGCGGGGTCGCTGTAGGCCTTCATGGTCAGATTGTAATTAAAGGCTCCGGAGGTGATGTTCTGGAACACAGAGCTGCACAACAAGCACACAGTTTAACGATGAACTCACAAAACTCCTGACGACAACAACAAGCTTCCCATCAGGAACTCACTCAGACTCAAGCTAGCAGCAGCAACACACCTGTCTCTGATCCTGAAGGACGCAAACTGCATTTTCGGCTGAGTGTGGATGCAGGAGAAGTTGATGTTGACTTGGTCGTGGCGAGTGATGATGTCACCGGCCGCCTGGGTCATGATAGTGTTGGTGAAGGTAGTTTGGTGATCATTGGTCTGCAGAGTCACACATGCAGAAGTTGTTACCAAACAAGTTCAATCTGTGTTCCACCTTTGACAGGTGATGCTTGTTAAGTGATGACTGGCTGTAACAAACTTCAGCGATGACCAACACATTGAGAAGCCTCAGAGGGCAGAGCTGAAGCTGAAACTAGAAGAGATTTGGCTGTTTGTAGAGAGTAAAGAGCTGCAGGAGAGAACCCACCACAACGTAGGCTCCACAGGTGTTGCTGCTGTTGTAGCTGAAGGTCACCATGTGGGTGACTTCGTCCATCTGACCCCTGCAGGTGTCGTTGTTCAGGTGTAAGGCGGAGTAGTCGATGCCTTTGTTCTCCAGGAGACAGCCGACCAGAGAGACTGAGACCTGGCCTGAGTCCTGGCTGCAGCTTGTCGGTTCACCTGAACGTCATAATATTGGTGAGAAAAATCACAGTTAGAAGTTTGCTGCCATCATTGGGCCTGTTGTAGCGTTGCTGTCGCAGCTGGCGTACCGAAACTGTCGTTGTACTTGGAGGCAAAAATGGCCCGACAGAAGCAGCGAGTGTCGCCGCCGGGCGTCTTCTCGCCACAGAACTCGTGAGCGCTGCAGGTCCTGTCCTGACAGAAGATCTCAGGGGGGGCTGCAGACAGACAAACTCTATATTATTCTGAACACGTGAGCCATAAAAATCCAGAACTGAACTCTCTAAAGCAAGATGGGGGAGTGGACAAGGTCTTACAGCAGCTGGCATTTGTCCTCCAGTCCTGAAGGGGGATGCCACGATGGTTGCAGACTTGAGCAAAGGCTTCCAGAAACTGACAGCTGAGACGGTCCACTGCGCGATATTTGGTCAAAGTGTGGTGGCAGGCGTCTTTGTAGGGTTGTGGGCTGATGTGCTCACTGCAGGCTGCAAAGGCCTCCTGATCCAGGAGCTGACAGCTGCTCCACAGACAGAAAGTGGGACATAATTACTGGTAATGTCAGTTGAGGCGAGTTTGTCGTTAAACATGGGATTTACCACCGAGATCAAAGCATCACACAGAGTGATGAATCTGCTCACCTCATCGCCGCCACGGTGGAGTTGAACGTATCGTCATCAGGCTCTGTGTACGCCGTTTCACAGCTAGGGGGCGACACACAACATGAGGTCAGGACTAGGGACGACTCTGCCAAGTTGTTTTGCCCCGACCTGATTCGAGCAATGTAATGTTTAGAATCTGCCGATACCAAGTCCCAAACTGATACCGTTTACCTCGACGTACACACTTTAAATATTGTCAATTGGCTGCAGTGCCTGGTTGTTCCACCAGGTGGAGCCTCTTACAGTTTAATACCATAGAGACCAGAGGAGGTGAACAGTTTTATTGTTGGCAACCAGAGACCACTGTTGGGATTTTGCATGTAAAGCAGCCATTGATTTTGAAAAATGAGACAGATTTGCATCCATAGCATCCTGCTACAAGTTGTCCTTCCTCTTTACAAAACCTATATGACAGCAAGTGTAAACAAAGGACTGAGTTTAGGTTTGTATTGATAACGATCAGTTAAAAATGGCCTTCATCACCGGCTCAGTGTCTTGAGGGCAGGTGACTGAGCTGCCGATCAGGACGTACCTTGAGTTGCCGGCTTCATTGATCCGATTATCATCCACAGGCCTGGATCCACACAGACCGTCCAGTCCCTTAGGGCTCACATTTTCTAGAAAGGTTCAGGACAGAAAAGCGAGTCTTATCAGCATCAGTGTTCAACGCGGATGAACATGGCAGCTCACAACAGGACCTATGAAGGGCCTAAACATTTTATGATCTGAACCTTCAAAATAGAGCTGAGCGGTGAGGCCGTCAAAGAAGACAGTGGTATTTTTGTTGTCAATCGAGAGCTTTGCAGTGACTCCGTATTCGTCTTTAGAGAGCATCACATTGTGAAACTCCTGAGGCGTGCTGTTAAGGTCAACTAATGCGTCGTTCACCTGCACCACAGTTAAGAGATGAAGCAGAGGAAACACTGAGTGAAACATTGCAAACACACCAACAAGCTGCGTTCACAGCAACAACCACAGCAGTTTCTCATGCAGGGCTCCAGACTAACTTTTCCCCCGGGAGATCTTCTAGCTGTGAGGTGACAGTGCTAACAGCCTCATGATCATCATACACTCACACAAATGTGACCACGTGAAATCTAACTTCCACACTCAAAAAATGATTGCATATATCTGGAGCTCTGCAATGAGGGTGTTGGATGAACCTCTGTCTGTGGGCAGCTTACCCAAACTCTCCCGCCTTGTTCCAGGCGAATGTAATGGATGCCGTTGTCCGTTATGTTCAGTGTTACGTACTCCAGAAAGCTCACATCTTTCCGACGACGTTCCTGGAACTTTGCCAACACGTCCACAGACTTGTTATGAACAAAGTGCAGCAGAGAATACGCACAACGATCCTCGACAGTCTTCATAGTGCCACCAGTGTCGATGACGGTGGGTCCAGTGATGGTACAGGTGAGGTAAGGAATACAGCTGATGGAGGCAGACAAAACAACATGATGAGCTGCTGCTGAGGGCTGCAGCTACCAGAGCGCCCTCTAGTGGTCAACATGTCTCATCTTATGTTATGAAGTAAAGCGTGTATGAGTTTTGGTCACAGATCTAACAATCTATAGAAATGGGTGGCATCATGTCAAGTTTTGCGTCGTTTTCTGGCGCCAATCTGGAGTAATGTTTGGAGGACCATAACCTGAGAAATAACTGTCTTCAATTGCACAACCCTGCATTAGTAGAGTACTGCAGATGGTGCAAAATTGGTCAAAGTATTCAGTTTTCCGTCTGTTTCCATATTCCACCAACAGAAGACCTTTCTTCTCCACCCTGAGAAGATGATGTTCCCTGTGACTGGCACCAATAGGAGCTTTAAACGTGTAGATGATGGTTCTAGTCAGACTCTTCATGAGAAGTGTAAATGTCAGACACACATCTATATCTGTACTTGTTTAGGATTTCTTTATTAAGCGCTATTTTAATCATTATGACCTTGTTATCATAGACTCAGATAGGACCTGTGTGTTGCGAAGGCTGGTAGTAACAGTACCTGGTGTTGTGATGTCAGCATTGAATCCCTGTTTTAAAGGAGTTCAGGCCCCATTATTGGTGGACAGAGTGTTTCCCAGTTCACTGCCTCTTGATGCACACTGATACCATGTTGTCAGCGTGTGGATGGATTTTCCTAAAGACGCTGATGTCCTACAGTTTAGTTTACTGAGTCTG